AACCTACAATCTTCACTTTTTAAACAAGTTATGCCCAGTAAAAGATGAAGATAAACAAACATTTCAAATAGAATCCCTTAGAAAAGACCATAGTTGCTCAATGGAATTCAAACTTGGGTCAATTGTTACCTACAAGTGGATAAGGAAATAGTTTGTCACTGATATATTGGATTCTCCTAAAATGAGTTTGAGGAAGATGAAATTTATGGTATCCAAGTTATTCTACATAAATGTTAGTGTTGGACAATGTAGGAATGCAAAAAGATTTATATTATCTGAAATTGAGGGTAGCTTGAAGGATCATTATTTCAAGTTGTAGGATTATGGAGCTGAAATTAGAAGGTCCAACTCAGGATCTCATGTTTAAGTGTATGTGAAGCCCCAAAATGATTCAATTATGGTGTTTGAAAGGTTATATATGAGTTTTAAAGGAGTGGTTAATGGTTGGTTACATGGGTGTAGGAAGGTTATTAGGGTAGATGGAGCATAGGTTGTATGTTAGGCACATACTAGCTAACTTCCATAAAAAGTTTAAGGGTGAGTGCTACGTATTACGTAAAACCTTTTTGGAGGATTGTAAAGGCAACTGCGTTGGATAAATTTTAACTTGCAATGGAAGACATCAAGAGCTTAGATGTAAGGGCATATGATTATATCATTTAAAGGGACCCCAACAATTGCTCAAAGGCATTTTTTAAGGTGGGAATGGGATGTGATGCAATGGAAATGGTGTTTATGGGAGATTTAATGTTGTTATTGAAGAAGCTAAACACAAACCACTTATCACTATGTTAGAGGACATAAGGGTGTTTGTGATGGAGACATAATACATGTAGAAAGGTGTGACAACCCATAAAAAAAATTTGTCTTGTAAATTCAAGCCAATCAACCTTAAGTCAGACTCGCTCCTGCTATCTTTCAGCATTGTTTAGAGTCTATTTGAGTGTTCCAAGTCTAGTACATTGAAGGAATGAGTATTAGGAAGTACCTGCTAGAGTCACTGTACAACATTCAAGCATTATTCACGACCAAAAGGAGTTCACGGCCACAACACATGAGTTTATGGCCGTAAACTCAAGGCTGGCCATAAACTCACCCCTTAAGTCTCATTTCCTTCACTTTTCTTTCATTCTTACACTTTCAACTCAAGAAACTTCCATTCTCTCTCAGGTATCATCGAGCCTTTCACTTTGATCTTCAAATATGTAAGTGATTTCATCCTTTGTTTAGTTGTTTCACTCTTTGATCTAGTATCATTCCATGATTTCATCCATGAAATCATCCCTTTTTGGTTAGATCACCAAGAATACACACTAGTTCTTTGGGCCATATTCACCTCTTTTAGCTTCCAAATCGTAAGTATACTTTCCATATACTTGATCTCTATTAGAAGCTCTTGATTTCATCATTTAAAACAACCACTTTACCATAAACATCAAGAGTTTACGGCCATGGAATATCCCTTGGCCGTAAAACCCATGATTTGGACACATTTTGGCTGCAAACCCTTCTCATATCCAAGCATTCAACCTTGAACCCCTAATGGATGATAGATAGGACCTTAATCCGCTCTCTTTTGCATAATGTTCATGAGTTTACGGTCGTAAACTCCTTGCTTAGCCGTAAAATCATCTATGTTGGCCGTAAACACCAAGTGTGTGGTCGTGAACCCTCTTTCATACAATCACATGTGATTCTAACACTTAGTCCAAGTCCCTAAGGGTTTCCTAGCACGTTAGTTGCTTTAAACACTAAATTCATGCCAATATATTCCATTATATGTCATTAGGACTTGTTTGTGTCTCGGGAATTCGTTCGTGGAACTTCTCATCTTTACGCACATATCTGATTGAATCATCCACATACGGTGAGTGCATACCCCTATAATCAATCTTTTAACCGTTTTAAATGCTTTTAGGAGGGGGGGGGGGAATACAAGTTGGACACAATGATAATTGTGTAAATGTTTTGTTATAAACATCTTTTAAAGGATTGCTTATGTATTAATAAGTGATCAAAACATTTCAAAAACTCTTTTAAAGTTATGTTACTTTATAGTTTGCAAAACTCCGTTTTTAGAGTACAAACATAACTACGTAGATAAAATGAGTATTTTCTTCAAGTTAGTAACAGTTCAAGTAAACATACTAGTAAACTATAATAGGTATAGTTTAGGAGTTCAAACAGACTATAATGAGAAACAGGGAGGAACATACTGTTGGGTTTTGAGCATTCTAACACTCCTATGGTGTGCATGCAACCCTATAAACCTTGGATCTATGTTTTCTCTATTGTACATGCAAATAAGAACTTTCCAAGGCTTTAATCCTAACTAGCATATTATGAAGTTCTTATACTACAAAGTACTAGTTAGCTAACATACCTTTTGATGTAACTTGATGTCTTCAAGCTTTAAGAGCTTAGCCCCAATAGTGTGAAAGCCTCAAGTGGAATCATAAATCACCAAAACACCTTGGAAGACTTTAGAGAATATGGATACTTGGTTCTCTCTAGTGAAATCGGCTAGCCCTTCTTAGTGTACCACACTAGTGCCAATTTCACCAACCAATGACATCTTTATATAGTATGGAGACTAGGGTTAAACCCATGACCTTTCATTTCATATGATCCATGGGTTAAACACTCCATGGACTATCCATGAAAGCTTAGCCCAACCTAAATGAACTTGGCCCATTCCATATATATAAGAGTCCATATTTAATTAGTTCATTTTTATCACTTAATTAATTCTAAATTAATTCTTGATCAATACTAATTAAATAATATGATTCCATATTAATATATTAGAACTTATAATATATTAATATTAATCATAAATATACTATTCTCAAAAGACTATCCATATAAATTGTGTTGGTGAAGTGCAACCCAAATGGACCATGCCGGGTCGGGTTAAGTACATACCAAATATAGTTATGGACTTAGACATTAATCCAACACATACTATAACGAGAAACAGGGAGAAACATAGTATACAACTTTACAAAGAGAACACATAATACACTAGAATAGAGAGAACATACAATACTAATACAAGAATACTATAACATTAATGTGAGCCACTACTTCATGACTTAGCAATATACTTGCTAGGTTGCGTTTTGTAACGAGAGTCTCATGGAGGGAGAGCATAAATTTGTGTATAGATCTATACGGGATTGACACCCCACACCTTGATTCTAGCTAGAGTGGGACTTGCAAGTGTACGGGTGACAAATATCACATCAGTTTCGGCGCCATTAGGTCGTCGTGGTAAAACACGTGTCATATCAGTATAGTTGTAATCACATCACATTTTAAATTGAATCAACAAGCTGGTTTTAAGGTAGTTAGTGCTTCAGTAGTCACTTTTTACAAACATTACTGAATACTTTCACCATTACAAATGACAAACAGAACAGTCAAGTCTTAGTACATTAAGTAGAAAGGGACCTATAATGCTAACTTTATGATTCCTTAGTTTATACACCAGTGATATATAAATCGAGTGCAACAAATAGTAGGATGTGTGTTTTCCGCTTCATTTCCTGTTCCTTGTTTGGTTATGGGCTTAGAGCAAATGCACCCAACCTACTATCTATCTGATCTTAGTTATATATATATATATATATATATATATATATATATATATATATTCTGTATACACTAAGTAATCATAAGGAGTACCAGGTATGGGTCAGGTCATAGTATACAAATTCAATACATTGTTTTCTAGTACAAAAACATACTTTTCAGATAGATCATGAGTAAACTAAACTAGAAACTTACCAGTAAAGGGTTTAATCCAATTTATTAAACCAATAAAATATAAAGGACCTTAGGTGGTTAATTCTATAATGTCTTAGTTTATACATCAGGGTTATATATAATTAATATCCGATAGGTAGTTGGATGGGTGATTTTTGCCTTACTTCATGTTCCTTGTTTGGTTGTGGGCTTAGGGCAGATTCACACAGCTAACTATTTATTCGATATTAGATTATATATATATATATATATATATATATATATATATATATATATATATATATATATATATATAGCTAGTATAAACTAAGTGATTATAGAAGGAACCATTGTGGTTACCGTTTTTACTAAAAGAAATAAGGGTTTTCTTAAAGAATGTTTTCATCAAATATAAATGAACTATTACAGTTAACTCCGTGAGTACCAAGTAAATACGCAAGGGTTATATACAACGACGATATAACAAACAATGGGATGTGTGCCTTCCGCTCCATTTCTTGTTCCTTGTTTGGCTGTGGGCTTAGGGCAGATACACACAATCGATCGTTTGTTTACTCTGGGTTTTATATAACATGTATCTATTTAGTACTCATATAAAGGATTGTAGAGTCATTTTTACTTATCTTTCATCAAAGCAGGAAATACAGGATTTTCTGAATGAACATACGAACTTTTCTAAAAAGAACTTACAACTTACTTACATCACTAAAATCTTATGAACTCACCAGCTTAAATACTGATCTACTATTTCAAAATAACTTTTATTCTCAGGAGACCAGTAGACAGGTACGTGCACTGGGATTCAGAAGATGGAGCATAATAGCTTCATGTCTTGTTTTGTTATTTACGTATGTAGTATATGTTTTGTGAGCCACATACTTTGTAAACACTTTCTTTCTAATGAAATGGTTGTTTATTACTTTGATTACTATGATGTATGTCTTGTGATACTAAACAGGACGTCCTCCACTCCCGAACGTTTCCACCGTTCCAGTTTTGGGGTGTGACAAAAGGGAAAGGATTGGGATATGATTTGGAAATCTATCCAACTATCAAAAAGTAGGTTGATGATTTAAAGGAGTGGAGAAGGTTAGTAACCATATATGTCCTACTTTATTTTTTGTACATGCAAGTGTTAAATAACTTATTTTAATTGCAGAATCTGGAATCCATATGTTAGTGGATACAAACAATTTGAATTTGTACAAGGTAATGAAAGGTATGGTGTTGATATGAAGAAGAGAGTGTGTGTATGTGGAGGTTGGCAATTAACATGCATTCCATCTGTATATGCCATATGTGTTATATCTTCTTTGAATCTTGATCCAAAGGAATATGTTGTACAGTGCTTTACTAAAGTTGCATTTCTTGGGAGCTATGAGTACATCATCCATCCACTGAATGATAGTTCCTTGAGGCCCCACACATCTAATGTTCACCGGATTCTACATCCTATTAGGAGAAGGTTACCTAGTAGGCCATGTGTGAAAACAAAAAGAGACCAAGCAGAAAAATGAGACTGGTGGGAATAAAAGGCATAATGTAAGCAGGGCAGGTGTTCAACACAAATGTACCATTTGCAATGACATTGGCCACAACACAGCTAGGTGTCCAAAGAGGGGTCCTTCAAAAGCAGGTTCAAGTAAACCAAGAAAGAAGAGTAATGCAAAGAACTGTCCTTCACAAGCAGGTCAAAACACTCCAGCTCTAAGTACTTCAATATATATGCATCAAGAGCCTGTGACTCAAGAGCATGTCAATCAAGAGCCTGTGAACCGTGTCCCTGTGAACCATGTGCCTTTGGATTAAGAGCCTATGAATCAAGAACCTGTCAACCAAGTGCCTATGAATCAAGTGATTGTCAACCAAGTTCTTGTGAATTGTCAACCAAGTGCATGTGAATCTTGGTGTTAAAGTGCCTAAGAACCTTGGTGTTATAGTAAGGAAGCCTTCAGAGAGAATCAACAAGAATCAAATAAAGAAGGAGGTTTTTCCAAAGGATGCAAAGAAGTGACTAATGACAACCCAATTACTTTAGAATGATTAGGTTTACTTATTTTCTTTTTCTTGGAAGTATGTACTAGTACATTACATATGGTAACTTTCTTTTGAGAATTGAGCCAACTTTTGATGTAAATTACAATACTACCCTTACTTGTGACCTAAAAACTTTTGATGGCATTTTAGTAATGGAATCAGTTATGGTATCCTATGCAACTGTGTTTTGTCTTTTTCAGTCTTTATTGGTACCAATGCACCAGTTTATTAAGAAACTTGTTTTAGTAGGAATCATATGTCAATTATCAAGCCAGTGGGAATCATATATCATTACTTGGTTTTCTTTTTATCAATGTAATTTGTGTTATGTCCTTGTTGTTTGGTTGTTGTAATGGTACCAACTTCAATGTAAATTACAGTCAAATGTGCACCATATCATTCAATACCAACCAACCACTTATGATTTAATTCAATAACAAACATATTCAATATCATTAACATTCAAATTACCAAACTTCATTCAAAATACCAAACTTCATTCACCTGTTTTCAGATACATCATGAGTAGAACTTAATGGACATTACAACTGATTTGAACCCTATGAGTATGTGATTTCTTCTTCTTTAGCTCTTGAACTTCTTTTGTCAGATATGCATCATCCTTTTCAACTACAACAATTTCATGTTCTAAATCTGCATTCCCAGTCACAGGTTCTTCAATCCATTCCCATAACTTACACTTCTTACCTGATTTCTTCATTTATTAGTAGGGAAATCAAATATAAAGAGGGTAAGAAGCTCGGTTACATAACATAAGTTGCATAAATTCCTTCAAACTCGACTTGTCAAACACTTGGGGCAAACTTTGAACTTTTTGTTGGCGGTATCTTTAGTCTTTGATGTGCATACTCGAATTGGGAGTTGACAATCACAAAGGTCCTCTTTCTTTGCGATGGAACTAGATGAAACTTGCGACATCTTCTTCTCCGATTTTGGGTAGGGTTGGAAAGTTTTTTGATTGAATTTAGGGCTTTGGATCGTATTATAATCGGTGGAACTCAATTACCCAGGTAGGACTATTTTCTTTTAATGAGTGTCCACATATGCAGCCATGTCAACAAATACGACATCAACCGGTAATAAGGATTAAATTTGAACACGAAAACAAGTTTAATGCGTAAATGTTGACAATAAAAAAAGTCAATGACTAAATGTGTACAAATTCAATAATATGTTACCCTCTTAAGTAATTATTCCTTTTGAAAATGAGTATTATTATTAGTATCAAAAAGTGTATTTAAGATGTGAAGCTTAGTGAGAAAAAAACAAAATTTTATTGAATTTCATATTACGAATAAAAAACAGATTTTGATAATGAAAATATGTCTTGTGACATATTTCGAATTAAAATAAATTTATCATATTATATAGATGAAAATGAGATAGTTTCAATTATATATATATATATATATATATATATATATATATATATATATATATATATATATATATATATATATATATAAAAAGAGTGTTTGGGAAAGCTTAGAAAACGACTCCCACACTTAAAATAAGTGTTTGGATACATAATTTTTTAAAACAACGTATAGTTATCCCACATCGGAGACGAGTCAATTTTGATAAGTTACTTCCCCTAATTTATCAAGAACTCCAACATTTAAAAAAAATATTCTATTTTGGTACCGTTATAAGCTAATAAGCTAATAAATAAAAAAATATTTATTATTTTAAATAAACACTTCCAAACTCCCCCATAGTATTATATCCAATCCAACATTCAATTAGATTGGTTTAGTTAGGTTGTATATAATGAATTTGATCGGATCCGTTGACAAAATTTAACATCCAACGGATAATTGATTGGATCAGTTCCATCAAAATCAATAGGATTTCAACCGATAAACACCCTTAGATCTAGACTTCTAAAATAATTTGTATCATTACAAAGTAGGAAAATTAACATGTAAATTTTTCATACTAATTGATTTTAACTTAATATATATTCATATTGTCACCTTGTTGGTTCTATTCTGGGCAACAAAAATATAAAAATTACTAAAAAACAATTTGCTTGGACCAAAAATAAGAAAACCAAAATCTAACATCATAGATTTCTTTTGACTAGAAACAATTTTTTGGCAAGAAGTAGCCAAATCCAAAAGATTTTTAAAACCAATTAGGATATGTTTCAACTTTGTTGTCAAAAGGTTGGAAGGAGTTGATGCAGGAAGATGATTTTCCGAATAGGTACCACATGGAACACAATTAATTCCCTTGTGGTAGCGTATGAATATAATGCTTTAGTAGGTTAATGATCTCATTCCACCCCTTAAAACCTATGCATTAGTTAGTCGTAAGTGTGTTAATATATTTGTACCATAGTATATGGGTTGAAAGAGATGAATTTCCAAATGTTTAGGGCTTGAGAGGGTTGGAAATGAAAGGTGAGATAAATGTTGATGTGGCACCTAAATGACATGTAGGTAGGGAGGGATGAACTCCCTCGTACTTGAGTTGGAGAAAATGTAAAGTGGAGTATATGGGTGGAGAGAGTACATCCCTCCCAACCCACATGTCACTAACACACCATATCAACATTTATATATTTTCTTACTTTTATTCATCCTATCCACAACACATGAGAAATCATTCCTTCTAGCCAACACTTCTTGGTACAAGTTCCTATGCATATGGTACAAGTGGGAAGAAAGAAAAGATAGTGGGAGCAGCGACATAGAAAACCCGCTCCATCCAAAGATTATCTATGGTGTTCCCCGTAGTATCACCGTTACCACTGTTGAATCACATCTCTTGCGGCTTGACCCATCCATCCTAAAGATGCATTTGATTTGAAGGTTTGAACATTTATAAACGAGATATCTGGAGATAGATAGCAAGTTGTTACTTCAGATTTATGTTATCCTTTATCATAGGGAAAGTTGTTATACTTTGTACTCATATATAAATACATGAATATACAATCACTCTGATTATTGGAGTTGATATCAATTCCTTATATGGTATCAGAGCCTCTCTCCCCTTCTCTACAATTTCAATCGGCCCTATCTCTTCCTCATGGCTTCAACTTCTTCTGATGCCTCTCTTTCCCTAAACACGATTCTTCATATGTTAACAATCAAATTGTCATCCACAAATTATCTATTGTGGAAAAATCAAATTAATGATCTTTTGAAGTATCAAAAGCTTTTTTATTATGTTTCTGGTGTGACCTTGATTCTTCCAGCAATCGTAAATGTGGAAGACAAACCCACCCCCAATCCTGCTCATAGTCTTTGGATCGAATCTGATCAACGGGCATATCTCATCCTTCAGTCCTCCTTATCTTAAGAGGCTATGGCGGAAGTCATTGGCGCCAAAACATCCTATGAGATCTGGACAACCCTAGAGGTGGCCTATAGTCACGATTCGGTTGAATGAATGCAGAACCTCCGTGATTCTCTTCGTCTTCTTCGCAAGGGCTCTCTCTCTGTCACTGAGTTTGGTCGCCAGTTCAAATCCATCTGTGACCAACTTGCAGCTATGGGTCATCCAGTTGATGACAACGACATGTATCACTATTTTCTTTGTGGTCTGGGCTCGTCTTTCGAAACCTTCTCCACTGCTCATCGCACTGTCAAGGACAAGCCTAATTTTCGTGATCTTCTTTCTCAAGCTGAAGGTCATGACCTTTTCTTGAAGTATGTTCAAGGTTCCTCGCCTCCTACAGTTGCTTTTAATGCTCAATAGGCTCGTTCCTCTAGCTCATCCAATCGTGGTGGTTTCAACAGGGGAGGTCGGAGTGGTCGCTCAGGTGGTAGGGGGCGTGGTCGTCGGCCACCGCACTGCCAACTATGTCGGACAGATGGTCATTACGCAAGTAAGTGCCCTTAACTCTCTACTTATGCCAGTCATGGTCCAGCAATTGATGCTAATCTAGCCCAAGCTTTTCACTCCAAATGTAGCACCACTACTCCCGCTCCTGATTGGTATGTTGACAGTGGTGCCTCTGCTCACATGACTTCCTCTGCTTCAAATCTCACCTCCTCTATTCCATACACAGGCAACGATCAAGTTGCATTTGGAAATGGTAACATTTTAAATATTTCCCGCATTGGAAACACTTCTATTGCTAAAAACATCAATTTATCTGATGTTCTTGCTGTCCCTAATCTTACTAAGAACCTTGTTTTCATTAGTAAATTAACAGCAGACTCACCAGTTGATGTTTTATTTTCTGATCATACTTTCACTATTCAGAAGCGTCGAAACAAGGAGGTGCTAGCCAAGGGCAGGGTTGAAGATGGCTTGTATGTGCTGGAGCAAGGTCATCAAGCGTTGGTTTCTCAGCTAATCTGAGCAGACTTCATGGATCTTATGAGCTCTGGCACAATAGATTGGGTCATGTGTCGTTTTCCACTATTTCCTTGTTAAACAAACTTGGCCATTTAGCTGTTACTTCTATTTTGCCCAAGCCTAGTATTTGTTCTTCTTGTGAGCATTCTAAAAGCCATAAACTCCCATTTGATGTTAATGAAAAACGGTCTTTGCATGTTTTAGATATGGTTCATCGTGACCTTTGGGGACCTGCACCCATTATCTCCACTAATGAATATGTTTACTATGTTATCTTTGTGGATGATTTCTCCCGGTTTACATGGTTTTATCCGTTAAAAAGAAAATCTGACTTTGCAACAGTGCTCAACACATTTCTTACCTTTGTTCAGACACAATTTTCTTGCAAACTAAAAGTTTTTCAAGCAGATGGTGGTACTGAATTCATGAATAATCAG